ATACATTATTCTAAACAGTCCGTTTCACAATTCGTACACAATGCACGCACGGACCAATTAAACAAGCGAGCATTTTTCTACTACAAATTACAATCTTTCTGTACTCACCGGAATATTTAGCCCATACGTAGAAGATAGCAGAAACAAGATTTACGTCTAATTTATGCCTCTGGCACTGATGAAAATGTGCAAGAATCGAATTATCAACTGTACAACTTTCTGGACGATTTCACTGCTATGCTTTTTCACAGATGCGAAAGTTTAACCAGCGTGTACCGCTTCATTTACGTACATACTGTGAGCCACCCAGAGTGAACATTAGACACCCACCAGTTGAGCTTGCTACACCTCAAACAACTGTTCCTTTTTTAGCATTTATTGGATGACCGGCAGCTCATGTAACGTCCGCATACGTTCTAATAGGAACGGTCGCTGTGTGGGACGTCTCCGTCCGTTCTGTTGCTATAGTGGACCCTGATATGGTGTGGAGAGAGATGCCATTGTGGAGAGGCTACCCTCGTCCCCGTTCGCCGCCAGCGCAAAATGCAGAACATGTCTCCGTAAGCAGGCTTTTGTAAAGTCAGATGTTTGCTCGACATTGTAAGCTTGAAAAGTCGGTCTACCCCCCAAAAACAAAGAGATAATTATAAATGTATAAGTTGTTCGAATAGGAGAATGACATTCTAGGAAGGCAAGGTTGAAAATGCAATATAGCTAGTACCAGTATGTGCCTTTACCTGCCTTGAGTATATATACGTGATATCGCAATAGCTATTTTTCCTTCTCTTAGGATTTAACTATTTAAGATAGAAAAAAAAAACATTGTCCATGTTTCGCGGTAACTTGTACACTGTTAAGCAGTACTTTAGACGGCTGGGTTAGACCCGGATCGAAATGCGTTTACGGCTGTGTCCTAAAATCTAGCAGACAAGCACTTCACCCAATGCGTCACCACGGGGATTATCGGTCGGAAACTAAAGGATGGAAGCATACCATTGTTGCTTGAGCATAGTCTCAAATAAATTGGTACACAAACTAATACATTTTAGGACTTAATCTAGTAATTACGTCATATAGTTGAATTGAGCTTCATTTAGTCAAAGTTTAGAAAAGGGTCAGATTCAGTCTACGCGGCATCCAGACGCACAAATACGTATAAACGTAGATTCCTGCTGTAATGTTCTCACAGAGATCAATAGTCTAATCGAAACTAAATTTCAGCTATCAAGCTGTCTAGAAACTTTTGAGTGCTCATATCATTGCCGAGCATATTTTTTTCAATTATATGAAGTACAAAATAATAATAATAATAATACTAGTAAATACTTCGATTCCACCGTATGCCGGTTAGGATTCAACGAAGGCTGCGCATATAGCAAGAGCACCTTTGAGCGCTGCTGCATAATGAAATGTCCTAATCACAATCCACAACTTGAATGACACAATATCTTTGAATGTTCAATAGCGTCCATTGCACAGGCAGCCAATAAATAATTAAGACAGAAACGACTCGGAAAGATGACTGAACCCTTTCCGCAAGAGTGCTCACCTATAACACCACAGTCTGCACGCAGGATGAACATTTTATAGGGACGATATGCCTGCATGCCCCGACTATACTTACCACTTGAAAAAAGAAGGAGTTCATGCGATGTTTACGTTCTGTCATATTTGTGATATGTACTTCTTACCACCAGCGCATGTTCATCCGACTCCCCACTGGGTTAAAGCTCAAAGAAAAATTACTTCCTTAGAACCATATACCACATTTTTCACTGCTAATTTCACTTTTTAGTGGAAAGACAACGCACGCTGAAGAACTGAAAATGGGTAAAATCACGTTTTCTCTTTTTCGATCATAGCTTTTTTTAGCTAGCAGAACTTTTCGATAAATGCTCGAAAGTTCAATATTATAGAAGTGGCGCACACGCGTGCCTAAGGTAAGTCTGTATCAGGGAATTTTAGCTGCAACATTTAAACTGAGAGATTTTTACTACTCTATAAATAGACTTGCAAAGGGCGACAATATTATAGCAGCCCATAAGATGCGTTTACCTGGCCATGCGGGATTTATGTTCATGGCGAATGCGAAGCAACGATTCTTCCACGCCTGCATTAGCTAGATTTCGTGGCTGATCAGATTTATGCACTGCAGAAAAAGAAATCTACAAAAACTATATGCTCAAAGTTTCGATTCAAGTACTGTTTGTTTTTCTCAGCTAGCAAAGGGCAAAGATATATTTTTCACGGATATATTCTTATAAGAACCACTACAAAAAATATTTATTACACTGCTCAAATATCATATATACGATAAAGTCGTTACTTGAACAACGTTATTATGTATATATATATATATATATATATATGTAACAAATGGTTTTTATAATATTTGAAAATACACGCAAAACAACCATATAATTTCCAAGAATATTTCAACTATAATATTAAACCATTTTATATTAAAAGACATGTTTATGTAAGTTGAACTTGGATCGCACTATGTTCGTATTGAGACTAGAATGCATCTAGCTCATATGGATGTCTTTATATCTCTGCATCGGTGAGGCTACTACACAGATTTCTATCCATGCCAGCTTCTAGCCCTCGTCTACAACATGTATTTAGTTTTTGGTGCACGAAGATTTCGTATTCCTCAGAGTGAATCTCTGATTCGTCCGCGTTTTATTATAATAATCCGATTAGTATTCACGTATAAGAAAGAGCAACCCTCGCGAGAGGGTGGCCAATGCAGACGACAGCGCATGATTCCATGCCGGCTAAGATATTTCGACAATAAACAAACGCATGTGCTTTTCATAGTCTGCTCAGCTGTCACTGGCCGCAAATAAAAATGGCATTAATAAACTTATGCAAATTCTGACTTTATTTTGAACGTGAGTTCTTCTGAACGTTGCCTATCTGATGATATGCTCTGTGCACATTCACAACATCAAAGAAACTGTTGCCAGTGTTCTACGATGCTAAAGCATTCATGTGAACAGATCGAATAGATTTAGTGGCAAAATGTACCTCAAACAATATTGATCCTATTGTAGCCTATATCACAGCTGGTGGTGTATTCAGTTGGAGAGTTTGTGTGGTCGAAACCGTTGAGCAGTAACGTTGCTTCTTGTGCGTTTGTATAGCTGAAAGTGCGCTCCGGTGAGGCAAAAATTTGGTTATAGCAGTAATAATGGCGGCTAAAGATGATCTTCAGAGTAGCACACCCAAAAACTCTAAAACCGCAGATTTTTCACCTATAGGACATCGAGTGCGGACTCTGACGGCTGAAGAAGTACGGAAACTTAACGAGGATAAAGAGGTATAACCAGTATAGGTAGAAACTCTCACAAATTTAGCAAGCTCATCATTTATACCGATGTTTTCCTATCAGCTAGATCATTTATAAAACTCATAACTTGTATAACTAAACATATATCATGATCACATAGAGCCACATAGTACACTATTCCGAATCAAATAAATAGATTGTATTTATACCTCATTATAGAAGGTCGTTTACTATGGAATGTGACATAGTAAACTTAAACTTTTCACAAACCTTGTTTTTTTATCCTCAGCTGAATAATGCACCGTTATTTTCTATAGCCTTTTGCCATTTGGATGATAACTTATTATCCCGCTGCCTGCTGATGTTCCGGGTTCAAGAAAAAAAGCAATTCAACATTATGTTGAAATTCGCATAATTTTCCTATTAAAAGATTGTCAATATTTTGAAAAACAAAATCTATGGGCGGTGATTATAGTAAATGACAAAGAGGTTTCAACTGTAATTGCTCAATTTTTTCCCCCATAATCTTTACAGTGTGGAATCGAACGTTATTGTGCCATAGAAGCGGGTAACCTTTCTTCATGGCTAATACTTATTCAAAGCAGTGCTTTTTTTATTATTTTCTTTAGTAGTTTATAGTTCATTTTAGTCGTAATTGATGAATTGAGATACCCAAAGCGGTCGTGCATAACATCTAAATTAGGCCACCAAACAGACACTAGAAGCTTTCTTGGCTGTACATTTGCCATAATATAGCGTCCCGCCAGTTTAATTACGTCTACCCACTAATGTGATCTCTCGCGATCAAAGTGGAAAATCAATGATGTATTATCAGTTACAATTGAATGCAGATATGGATCACTGTTATTATATGATAACAAATATCAGCGAGCATCTCTAAATCTCTGTTTTTGATTCTCTCTCAAACTATCGATTTGTTAACTATCGAAGAATCGATTTGTCTTTTGTTTTGTCTATTTAACTTGACCGAGATGATCAAGTATGGTATTGTTTACATACATTAAACCCAAAATGTAAAAATTCGTGCACTTCGAAATGGCTCGACTTTCGTTACGGCTCTCAACTCGTAGTTGGTCATTGTGCCAGGGAGTCTTCTATAAGACTTTAGAAGAATAAATCTTACAGAAGACTCCCTTCCCTAATTTAGAATTTAATTTGCAAAATTTTTTGAACTAACGGGTTACGGTGTTCCTAATCGTTATACGTATGCAATGTTTGCCTTACCGCATATAACGTTCATACGGCTAGTTTCAAGATAATTTCATATTCGTAAATCACTCGAATTTTTTAATATCTATGGCCCACTCACTTGCTAAAGGTCCGAGTGACAAGCTCTAAGTTAATGACCTTAGATTCCAAAGAATACAAATTCATCTCGCGCCGTTATAAAATAATGTCATCTTCTAATAATGTCATCTAAAAATAATGACTGCTACGTTCTATAATAAACGATTTTATATTTGTACCTCCCGGCTAGGACTAACACATAGCTAAATCTATTGAACAATCTACTTTAGTTATTAAACGTTAGATAACGTTAGGTTAAGTTAGGTTAGATAGAAACGAAAGATAAATGTTTAATTCGATATTTTATTGGTCTGTTGCCTGTTTAGATGGTGAACGAATTTAAGCAAATGAAGTTTGAGCAGGACGCGAAAAAACACTGGGATCAATTTTATCTGCGTAATGAAGCACGCTTCTTTAAGGATCGTCACTGGACAATTAGGGAGTTTCAGGAGTTACTGAATACCAGCACAATGCCTGGCGAAAAAAACGTTAATGCAGACCTATCGGCGATAGGTGCTACCTATCGTCCAGTTCTGTTAGAAGTGGGATGCGGGGTTGGCAACATGGTGCTACCGTTACTTGAAGAAGACACTCGTTTTCAGGTAATCCTCCATTCCGAATGTGTGACTAACAAAGTATTATAAATTAGATTTGGCACGGAGAAGCGGGAAAATGGAATGAAAATAATACAATGACAAAGATAGTAAACCAAAAGCCGCCAACAATAGGAGAAACCTCCAGTCAATTTCGTAAAACGTCTAAGGTATTAAAAAGTAATCCGCTTCGAATATATAGCATCAGATTTTGGAGATGAAAATTTTGTTCTGCAGGAAAATATAGCAATACTTTATCAAAATTTCCTAGCTTTACATATACGAATTTAATTGACACAATGAATAACAAATGAAAAAGACGGATTTATCTGTCCTTCCTAATAACAGAGCCATTTCCCATATTCAAAATTTCATGAGCAAACGTTATAATGTTTCAAGGAAGTAGACTGGAAAGTTCGTTTAAAAAGCGAAGCATTCTGATTCAATTGCCAATGTTCAGAATCTATCCTAGCGGTTACATAATGCTATAATGTTTATGATTTGTTGCTTCCTATGACTGAAAACTCGATATCTACAATATACTTATACATGTTACTTTTTGTGTATTTTCAATGATTATTTAATATTTAATTAATAATTATCCTACTAAGGTACAAAAAATATAACAGTGCTAACATTGTACTCTCAAACCATACTTATTTTGATTTATTCATTGGTTCTTTTTGCAGGTTCTTGCGTGTGATTTTAGCCCAAGAGCAGTGGCGCTGCTATCCACAAACCCAATCTTTATTGCAAAAGGCGGTCGAGCATTTGTTTGCGATCTCACAACTTCGACACTTTTGGAGGAAGTGCGCCCCGATTCAGTAGACGTTGTTACATTGATATTTATGCTTTCCGCTGTTCATCCTAATAAGATGCCGATCGTACTAGATAATCTCTTCAAGGTATAGAGGCATTTGCTGTCAATTTTGTGACCATAAAATTTTTTATAACGCATTTATTTGGGTAAACAAATAATTATTTGCGGGAGTAATGAAAACCACTATATTACTAAATAGATGAAATAGTAAGAAAAGATGTCTATAGAGCAAAATTGAACTTCCTTTTTTCTCCGTATTTTAAAGCGGTGACTATTTTTACAAACGTTGTTTTTGTAAATCGATCTGTAAACAACAATAATTTACGAGAATTTGTCACACCGTTCAACTTTTTAATCTATTGAGCTAATTTAAAAATCTATTTTCCGCAAAGATAAGGGTACATGATGCCAAGTTCTGTTTTATTCGACACAAATGTTTCAGGTCCTTCAGCCTGGTGGGGTTGTGCTTTTCCGGGATTACGGCCTTTACGATCAGGCGCAGTTAAGGTGAGTGCCGAAATTTCTTTCGAAGGAATATATTCCCTAGCCGTAAACCCCGTAGAACTTCTCGAAAAATTTGAACTGCACGAAGAATTACAACTTACTAGCAGTCAAATGTGGCTAGTATTTATTTGGCTAAAAATATATTTTTTTCATGCAGGCTTTCTAACCCACCTTTTCTATGGAATGCAGCCTGCAAACGTTCTATTATGTACTTTACGTAATATGTAAAACGCGACACTAATCCGAGGGCCGTTTTCAGATTTAAAAAAGGCCATAAACTTCAAGAAAATTTTTACGTCCGACAAGATGGAACTCGGTAAGGAGCTCTTAGATATTCAACATTTTTATGTTGGTGCGATATTTGTACAAATTATATAATTGATTTAATAGAATTTTTATTGGGCAACGGCATCACAGGGCAGTGTTACATAATTCGACAAGCGAATACATGTAAATTGAATCGGTGAGCAATAGAGATATTTTGCTTTTAAGCTGTCAAAAAGCCGCATTTTCTTTCGCGATCAGAAATGTTCTGATTCTAGGAGCCTAATTTCTTCTTAAATAGTTAACCACAATATTGCCATAATAGAAATATGACAGTTTCGGAGCGCAGATCAACAACAAACTGAGATGGATTAGAATACGCAATTTTAGTCTGCTTATATGGTGGTGGTACGTTAACGCATAAATTTGTAATGCGTTTACAGAGTGTACTATTTTTCTGAAGAAGCGGTACGCACCCTATTTGAAAATTCCGGTTTCTTGGCAAGGGAAAACTCGTATATTTGCAGAAGAACGATAAATCGTAAAGAGGGCATCGACGTTCCCCGCGTATTTGTGCAATCTAAGTTCGTCAAACCATTTCTATCAGTGAAAAAGTCGACTTCTATAACACAAGGGGAAAATGGCATAGGCTAATAAATATTGCAGGTTATTCTAGTTGATGCATTGAACTTGCCTTTTATGTTATGAAGCTACGTAGAACATTCGAATCCGAATAATTAAGCTTAAGTTTTTACTGTTTTTTTTACTGCAGTTACTGCTAACCTAATTATCCTGTAAAATAACTCTTTTAGTAGTTGAACTGTAAGCCATTCAGAGCTTTAAGACTAGTTTTCTCAACATCTGGTGCTACAATATTTACATACGAAAATTTACATCCTAGCTGTTAGCCCTTCAGCTAATATTCCAATTTGCTGCGCGTTTAGGAATGTTATGTATAATACAGGAGAATAAACATTGAGCCGATACGCTAATCAAGCCAACAGAAGGCCTAATCTGCGATACGTAGACAACGTAACAAGCATGCTAAACGTTAGAGATCTCGAAGTAAAATCTCAGTTTAGCGTTTTTTGGTGTACGAAATGAACACATCCTAATTGACCGAACGACCCATTATGAAATTGCTTACCATATGTATAATAGAGATCATCTGTGTGACGTACTCCAATCCATGCACAAAGTGGTGCGCTTATAGAGACATACATGAACTTTTTATATATATATGTATATATCGTCCGAAATATACGAAGGCGTATTATATATATATAGGGTGGTCGGAAAAGTATTGACGGTTCCTAAACCATAATTGAAGCAATTTTTTTATATTTCAAAGCAATAATACTAGACGAAATATGCACCATTCTGATCACTGAGCTTCTAATATACCTCTACCAAAACTATAATTCCATCACCGTAGACCATCCCGGGTTCATGAACAAGAAACGGTGATGAATGATTTTTGCATCTTCTATTGTAACCAAATAAACGGCATGAGGTAGGATCTACAGAGACAGAGACCGGCGATATTCTGAGAGTGCAAGATCCAGGTTATATGGCAAATACATTAAAATTTTTGCTGGTTAGGTTAATAGTTATGTGGTCTGGCATTTTCATGGTAAAGGAGGACGCCCTTTCTAGTTACGAATTGCGGCTGATTTTCTTAATACTTTGTTGTTATCTTTTTGGTTGTTGACAGAACAGACAGCTGCAGCTTATAATGCATGATGTTATATAGTTTCATCGAATACACAGTGTCGCCTTCTTTGGCTCAGGTCCGGACTTTGCCACAAATTGTGGAGCTTTTCGCTACTTTCATGATTGTCTTTTTCAAACATTGTTGTTGTATGTGATCCTTTTCCATCATTTTCGATGAGTTGCTTTGAAAGTAGCTCGAGTTCGTCGCATTTTACAGAATTTCGGAAATGGAAATACGATAGATTTGACAGAGCAAATCCTTTTGTGTGAATTCATATGGCACTCAAACGTCGACCTTTTTTTTTTATCTGATTTTCTTTAAAAGGTTAAAAACTTTTTGGTAGTGAATGTTTAGTTCTCTGGTGATATTATGGCTATTCATGTGCCAATTTTTGCAATAATTTTATCAACTTTTTTTGTAATTAATTGACCACTACGAGAAGCAACAGAATGAAAGTAAGAGAACGATCTTTAAGCTGTTTCATCCAACAGTGCATTTGGTCATAAACAGTACATATTTTTTAAAAAATTTCACTCATCTTCTCAAGGTGCTCTATCTATAATAAATCCCTGAATGAATAAAAGCATTTCGATGATTTCAGCCCATCCGTTATGCCTTAGCTTAAATTCGAAGCAACTCATATTACCTAATATATGTGAGTTAAAACTCTCTAGATAGAAAAATGTTATGGTATTTCGTTAAGGTATATATGTATACATACCTTAACCTATCGTAAAGCTGAGGAAATTACCGTACAGTTGCACGTCATACCAATGTATCATTCAGCAGTAACTTAAACGAACTCTCAAAGTCGTAAATTGCGAAGCATTCTAAACAGGTCCCAGAAGAATATAAGAACTACTATGTAGATTTTTCCTGCTTTTGATAACTTAAGTAGAACAATTATCGGCAAGCACTCATGATGTGAATCTTGCTTCTTTATCTGCAAATAAAACACGACGTATCGTTTATTTATAGCGCTGAAATAGCGACCTGACTATCCTTCTAAATATCTTTAAGGGACAACCTACTTTGAGGATTGCTATGATTAAGTTGGGCAAAAAATTCCCGTTAAAACCGACAGATGGCGTTAGAGTCGGATGGGCCGACAGTATTTAGCTGAAATTTCCCAGGATGATTGTTTTAACTGTCGGCGTTTGCCGTGCTGTCGTTAGAAATGGTGGCCTAGTGTGTTTAGTCATAGAGCTCAAAAAGTTTCACGTTGAACATTTCAGTGGTTTTTCTGGACACTACCGTTTTCGTGCTAAAAAAATGTGCTGCCCAAACAGAAAGGAGTGAAAATTACGTGCAGCTAGCGTTAGCACTCGCTTGCTTTGGTTCAATAGTTTTAAAGCCAGAGACTTCTATTTGAACGATAAGTTATACTTCAAACGGCCGCAATAAACGAACGACGGTGAACTGCAATCATTCCTAAAAGAGAATGTGACGCAATTAACCCGTAAGCTCTCTTCATAGCCAGGAAGGCGCCGCAAAACTGTTGTTAATCGTCTGCATACAGTAGGAAAGACTTAAAAAAATAATTCGACAAAATAAGAAGGGAAATGTCTTTTGTTACTTAAACGTCAGAAAAGTAAGTCGTTCCTATACAAGATTATTATCGCCGATGCAAGGTGGATCTTTTACGCCACCTCTAAACCTAAACCAGGATAGGCTCTGCACAGCTTTCCAGTTCGGCGACACAAAGAAATATTTATGGTTAAAATCTTCACCTCTGAATATGGTGTAATGAGAAAGGAGTGTTATACTGTGAGATACTCCAATTCCTGGAAAAAATTATAGAAGACTGTTATGTAAGTCAACTCATCTGAACCACAAAATTAACAGAAAGAGGCTTTGAACTGGCAGAGGCCAACGTGAAGTGATATTGGTGCATAACAACGCTACATCACACATTGTTCTAATGACTTCGCGAGCGTTAACGAACCTGGGATAAGCAACGCTGCCTAATTTGGTGTACAGGCCGGACATTGCTTTCTGACTGTCACTTGGTTCGATCAATGCAGCATCGCCAGAAAGGCAAGCACTCCAGAACAAAGACTGAGGTTTTCAAATGGGCCGTTGAATGTATCGTTTTCAAGGACTAAAGTCATAAGAAGCCAGGGGCACTACTTTACCTGTGTTCATTTGTTCGATAATTACAATAAATTAATGCCTAAAGACAACAGAACCTTTTTTGCCCAATTTAATTGAATCCAGCGCCTCTTACAGGAAAATCGAGAGAAAAGTTGTTTTTGTCTGCGTCAGTTAATAAGCTATGATGTATACAGAGATATATAGAACCTTTTTTTTTATTAATCCAGATGAGGTGTACACTGCGATGACTAGAGATGGTATACCTTCCGTATATATACTCGTGCATATGGTCCTTGTATTAGTCTCGAATGTGCTCGTTAATACCTTCTTTGTGACATCGTGATGAGATGTGGACTCTTGAATGTTAGGCGACCTATTTGTACAGTTAAACATGCCTTAATTGTTTACTAATGTACAATTGCAATAGATTCCTTTTGCTTTCTTTTACAGTATGTATCAATATCGAGCTTGATTCTAAACGTTGTCATTCCGTCGATGCACATATTCCGATACTGCGACATTCAGCTACCAAGATTTTCTTTCAACTTTTTAGGGCACAATAGATTTCTTCATCCACGAAAAAGGCTCATTAATCTATGAAGTATCAACAAGGACAACAATATCTTTATATATATATATAAAGATATACATATCGTGTATGCTCGTATTTACTGACATATAGACATTTCTTCTTACAAGTTAGTAGTTCGGCCTGGACAAGCCAAATTCGTAGAGAAAACTTTTTTGTGGTGCCCTTTTCATTTGCTAACTGGGCTAATTTAAAGCAAGGAACCAACCTTTCAACATAAGAGTATCAAATACCCTATTCTCACATAACTGCCAGTAAACCCTTATATAACTGGTTCTCTATCGCCACAACAAATGGAATCGGTAAAGTTGCTTGCAAAGCCGACTGTAGACGGTCGCTGAAAACTGAACATGTGATATCCTAATGGTTATATATGCGTAAGGCCTAGTAATCATAAATTATGATTCAATTATGACTTGACGTTCACGTTATTTGGACGTTTAATGTAACGGAGTACCTACACAAATGTCTATGCGTCGTAGTGGGTGATTGCCCCTTCCTACGATTCAACAGTGTTATAGATATATTGAAAAGAATTATCTTTGTATCTAATGTATTTTACAGCACAAATTATATGTATATTGCGCTGCAAGATCGTTCTAGATTTACCTCATATATATTCATATTAGCTTTTCAAAGCACATTGGCTAACTTCATTCTCAATCGTTAAGTTAATCTACTGCCAGACCAAGACTTGGACTTCGTTGTTTTTCAATTTCGACCACGTCTAATGTACTACACGATTCTGGCCTCTTGTTTCAAAAACTCGCATCTAATGGAACGTTTTTGCGGCTCGAGCTGTTGCTTTACCCCTCCCCCTCCCCAGAGTGTAGATCGCAAGTCTCCATATCTTTCATCCATTTCTGCTATTCCAGAGAAACTACAACAGTGGTGTACCTTTCTCCCTCTTCCATTAGTCCGATATTCTTCTTCTTCTCATTAGATTGGTGTGCAATGTCTAAATGCAATGTCTCGGGATAGCAATATGAATCTATATTTTAATTATTTAATGGATTGAAACCTGTTCATTCTTATTTACTGTTAGAATTAGCAGCATTGTCGTTGATTGGAGACGATAAGTGTCAGGTTGCCCGGCCTGTAATTCCACGTTTGGGCACAATTCTAACAAAACGCTGCAACTGTGCCCCGCTCAATCGCTGCAGCCGAACGGTACAATCGAAGTAACAAAGGGAATACTGCAACGATTTGTTTCTGCCAAGGCCAACGTTCTTGCCATAGGTGACGCCGTCGCTGCGATTCGCTGAAACAGTACTGGCCTGCCCGGTATGAAGCAAAACGCTCTCCGCTTTTTTCGCGTTTGACCGAAGCATGAGAGGTTCCGCTACCGGGGAACCGTTTAACCGAGGAGGCGGATGCGACGACTTATTGGGTGAACTTGGTGGGGTTGTTATTCGTAATGGCTCCGTACGCGATAACCTCGGGGCTGCCACTTTCGCTACCACTTTCAGTTCCTCGCCAACATCATTTGGAGTAACTGTAAAAGGAAAGTGAACCCGATTTCGCGTTTGCCGCGACTCCCTCGCAGAAAAAGCATCACCCATCGTAGAAGTTGGCTTAACAGGATCAACAGCCTTTGTCGTACCGGTGCTGAAGTGCGTCTGAGCGGCTCTAACGGGTAAATGTCGGCCCTCCGTTGACTTCGGTGATTTACCACCGCTCCCGTTGCCTTTACTGCTGCTGTTTCTATTGCTACCACCGGTGACACCATCATTCAAATCCGTACAGTCAACACTCTGATACTGACTGTTACAGCTAACGCCCTTCTGCCTAGTAGAGGTTAGGCGGTTGTCCGGGACGCCGCCGTTTCGATGGGGTACAGCGGTTATATTCGACAGTAGTTTTGGCGCCGCAACCTTATCCCGGCTGCTACGGAGTGTACGAATCTCCGGTCGTTGCTGATCGCTTCGCCGCTGATGAAAATAGCGATGATTGTCCGAACGATTCTGATGACGGTGATGACGGCGAAAGTGAGGTGGTCGATCTGACAAGTTGCTGCTGCTGTTGGTACTTACCCTGGTGTTGCTAATAACGCTCTTAGTAAACCTATGGCTATTACTACTGCTGCTAGCATTGATACTACTGTTTTTATGGTGTACAATAGTTGAACGCGTATGCTTGTTCGGGGAAGCAACCAGGTGGGTTGCACTGGCCTTCGCTGTCGTGCCAGACGATACTGGGAAATTTTCGCTGTACTTAGTGGTAACCGTGCCTGCGTCTGGTAAGGGGTTTTGCTGCTGCCCTTCTTCTCTAGGTTGATGTCGCTGTTTCCTGTGGCCGGTCCCATAAGCCGGCTTTGAAGAACTCGACGATGATAGGCCAGCAGGTGCCTCCGCTACCAAAGTCGCGTTCCGCGTTAAATTTCGCGTTCGCAGCTGCAGGACTTCGACACCGGTGAGTATTTCGACGGACTCCGTGTCCGAATCTGCGTCAGTACTTTCTAAATTGCTGCTAATAGTGCTTTTATGATTCTCGCTGCCAAGATTGCTAGTATTACTGATCGCACTACCTTCACCAACTCGACTGTTGGTGGCTACATTGTCGTGACTACAAAGCTGAATAGCCTCTGTCGGCCTTTTCGGTATACCCCTGATAAAGTGTCCTTCTAAATCAGCAACGGGCGTGTCCGCTAACGATCTTCTACCTCGCGTCGGTCTTGACTCTGCTAGACCCCGTCGTTTGTTTGCTGCTGCTATTGATGGTACTGGGTATGCATTATGTGACAAATGTTGACTACGTCGTATGACATCGTTCGTGGGTAACGGACCATTTGCGTCATTCAAGCACGATGCTTGCGCAGTGTCCGCCGCACCAGCGAATGAGGACGTCACGGCTATTCGAAGAGATTGAGAAGTCGCTAGTGAAGTTTTCTTGGAATGTTGGTCAGGACTACCAGTATTCATACTGCTCGCGATTGCACTAACCGTCCCATCACTCATGGGGGCGGTTTCCTCCAGTCTGCGGTTCGGCAGCTGTTCGGTGTGCGGTGGCTGCTGACGAATGGAGCCGCTGTAAATGGTAGGCGAGGATACAAGCCGCGCGGGCGAACTCTGCTGGCTTGCCGCCGACGACAGGGCCTCTGCTGCTGCCGGCGTCTGCCTTACTGAAACCGTTGGCGATCGGAGTTCTATCGTCGGGGGAAGCGGGCGCTCCGGGGAGCCGCTCTGCAGATCGAGTACCATCGACCGCTTAAAGGGCCCTCCGCGCCGCCGGCCCACCCGTAGATATCTAAGCCGCGCTGTAGCTTGCATTGTACTACTTGTAGAGATGCGAGATGTCGGCGAAGAACCATTGGCTGTGCCGGTTATAGAGGCGGTGCTACAACGAGGCACTGGTGTCGTGGGAGTGGAAGCCCGATGACGTTTGCTTTTGAAACAACCAAAAGAAAAAGAGAAAGCAAAATTGTAGTCGATATCAGCAATTTGTGAAGTCTAAGTTGGAACGGGTTATCCAAAGTGCCAGTGCTTTGGGTAACGTCGGCTATGTTCCTAATAGTTCACTTATAACGACTTTTATGATTGTTTGATTCATCATACTATGTGGTATGAGTTTCATAACCGAAATAAGGGTTTTCGAATGTTTACAGTTTGTATTCTCAATTTATTTATTTTTGTTAATAAATTAAAACTTAGATATTTGAGCGATCAATCCATCCATATATACCTGGGGGATCTTATTGGATGGGTACAATGTTGCTTTTCTGGGGCAGCTGTTGCGGTTGACACAACGTCCACAGTTGTGGAGAAATTAAGCCGCGTTCTAACCCTAAAAGGAGCGTTGTTTTCGTCTCCCTCAGGGCTATATTGTTCTCTTCTACGCTTACTTGTCGTGTGGATCTCTAGCCCTCGTGAGCTCACGGATGATGCAAGTGGAGGGGGGCGGAACCTACCCGGGTTGATAGAAACAGTCCTTTGGCCACTCTCTCTCGCCACCGATGGATGGACCGAGAGCGTCTGAGTTATGGCCGGGGTATACACACTTGGCGCCGGAATTCGACTAATCGGAGAGCCACCGTGGACCTTCACGTTATCTCGTTCAACTGTCCGTTTTAGGGAGGTTACCACGGATGCGGCTGGTACTCCGTAAACCTTCTCGAAGCTATGCAGCCGGTCGTAGATGTCATCGAGTCGATTGGCGGTCCGAATAATTCGCAACGACTGGAAAACAAGCAAGTTTGCCCAAATGCAGTCAACGCAGGCTCAGTCAATTGTATGTGTTTACGTGGTTTTGTTTTGCCTTTTATCTATTTTCAATTAAAGATACGCTTCGGAAATAATTCGCCTAAGAAATTCTTGCCCTGATATAAAAGGTGGTCATATTTGTGGTATCTAAACTACACCTGCCCTTTCTTCCTTACTTCATCCTATAAGCGCTTACCTCAGGATGTTCTTCAGCAGCTCGAAGCTGTCCCATTGTGACATCTTCCCTGGCGCGGATCCACAGCTTGCGCTGCTTCTCCCGCCGTTGCACGAGATAGCTAAGATTACGTGCGCGCTCCAAGTCCTGTCGGAGGTTTACAAGAGAACGAATCGTGTTCGACAGCTCATCGTCAATTTGGACAGGTCGCTGCAGTCCGCTATTTTCTTCATGTTTAGGCGGCAACAGCGCTCTACCCTGCCTCTCTAACCTTTTTAACTTCCAGAAATTGAAGATCTGATCAACGCCGAGTGGGTCGACAAACTGACGCAGGTGGGCCGCTGTTTCGTTGGGGTCAACAAAATCGAGAAATTGCTGCTGACCGCCGAGGTTGTTCACACCGGTACTGAGGTTGCCTTCTGTGCTCTCACCAAGTGCGCTATCGACATCAAGAACTTCGTCGCCATTAGCAGATGATGCTGACGATGCAGAGTTACCACAATGGCGCATGGAAGCGGAGCTGCTGTTGGCTGGCGAATGGTTTCGTTTGTTGGCATTGGGCGAATTCGCCGCTTGACCACCATATTCGATCACTTTCTTATATCGGTGCGGTGCCAAGGTAGCGCTTCGATATTTAACGTGGGCATGGCAAAAACTTTTAAGTTCGAGCAGAGGATTGTTGACGTCAGCGGCACACATCAACAAACTAAGACCTGCCTTCTGCGCGCACGTAACGTGATACGCAGCTTTGCAGTTTTCGAAACTGCATTGAATACAGGCACCTTGACCTTCGCAACCACATACACTGCATGTAAGCCGACGTCGCCATGTTGGAATTTTGTGAAGGTTTTGTAGTGGTTCCATGAGCTCAGGTGTGCCAATGGTCACCTCGGGAATCCATAAAGCACAGGTAACGTGTGCCCAAAGATCGGCATCAGCGTCAGGTTTGAGCGCCCCGTCTTCCAGTGGACAAAGGGCGCAGGCTGGTTTGGCCGAATAGCCGCGAGCACAGGGCGCGCACAACCAACTGCCTGCAGGAACGGTGACTATCCCATAGCAAGCTTGGTGAACGCAGAGATCGCAGGCGTCACAGAAGACCATGTCGTTGCCTTCCTCAGAATCAGGCTAATGAAAAAAAAAAAGAGAAAAGTGATAAGTGGAATAGTGAAAAAGAAAAAAGATTATAAACCACCGGAAATTAATCTTGCCCGCACTTTGTTGGCCGAATAAATGAGTGAGTCTCTAGTTGGAGCTATCAATACATGTTGATATACTGATTGAGAAGTCACTAATGTTCATGCATATGTTATGGAGCTACAAGCTCATTTAAAGGTGGAATGCTTACCGATAAACAAACATCGCATTGAGTGTTTTCATCAAACTCGATACCAAGCTGATTTGCCGTCATGTTGGTGTGACAACGTGTTTCGAGATCGTCTACAACCATTTCTAATACCTGAGAAAAGCATACATAACCGTCATTAATGTAATATGCTCAAATAAGCGTAGGACTCGGCACCCGCATGTGAGAATAGATTATCTGCGAGAAAACTGAAGAAAAGTAAAAGTGGTTGTTTATTCCGAGCTCCTCTAGCTCCACAAAAGCATTTAACTCAATACCATTTTTTTTTTAACTTAAACTAACCTCTTCAGTGAGTTCAAGCAGTCCGCAGGCTCCACGCTCTCGATTAAGTAGTTGTAACCAGGCGAAATCGAGTTGATCGAGATTATAACGTGGCCGGGCATCAAGCTGCCGTGCTTTTACTGCTGCGTCACAAAACTCGTGACGTGCAGGGTCGAACATGGCTCCAGTAACGCCGTTTACATTTATCAATTTGGCGGGCCTATCGCAAATCGCAGACAGCAGAGTTTTAGACACATTGTGTATTCATGAAAACACTTTAGTAAAAACAAAAGAAAATCGGTATATTATTAACTATTAGTCGATTGTTGCTCCTAGCTCTTCGATTAAAAAAATCATTGCTTCAAAAAAAAAAAAATATATATATATATAGTAAATCTATCTATCTATCTATCTATGTAAATCTATCTATCTATCTATGTAAATCTATCTATCTATCTATCTATGTAATCTATCTATCTATCTATCTATGTAATCTATCTATCTATCTATCTATGTAATCTATCTATCTATCTATCTATCTATGTAATCTATCTATCTATCTATCTATCTATCTATCTATCTATCTATGTATCTATCTATCTATCTATCTATCTATCTATCTATGTAAATCTATCTATCTATCTATCTATGTAAATCTATCTATCTATCTATCTATGTATCTATCTATCTATCTATCTATCTATCTATCTATGTAATCTATCTATCTATCTATCTATCTATCTATGTAATCTATCTATCTATCTATCTATCTATCTATGTAATCTATCTATCTATCTATCTATCTATCTATCTATCTATCTATCTATCTATCTATCTATCTATCTATCTATCTATCTATGTATCTATCTATCTATCTATCTATCTATCTATGTAAATCTATCTATCTATCTATCTATGTAATCTATCTATCTATCTATCTATGTAAATCTATCTATCTATCTATCTATGTAAATCTATCTATCTAT